TATACACACACACACACACACACACACACACACACAAACACAGTTGGTATAAAGAACCCCTTTAAAATAATCACATTTTGTTGAAAATCTGTGAAATAACTGCAAATTAACTAAACTTAAGCAGTTCTGCAAAGAAGAGTTAGCAAATATTGCAAAGTCTAGATGTGCAAAGTTAGTGGAGACATATCCCAACAAACTAAAGGCTGTAATTAAAGCAAAAGGTGGTTCAACAAAATACTGACACAAGGTGTTTATCCTTTTTCCAACTTAGTGATTCTGTTTTGTTTTTTTCTGACATGTTGGTGTTATATCTTACACTTGGATGTTATAAGTTGCACCGAGCAAATATATCTGGATAAATCAAAAACTGTGTCCATCTTCCAACTGTGTTCATATATATATATATATATATATATATAAATTTGCACTGAATCAAAATCAAGAAGAATAGCTTCATTTATTTCACCACTTAGTATTACCAAATTTTTGGAACGTTTCAACTTATACTTTAAGAGGTCAAATCAAATAATGTTGGTTGTATTAAATCAATTGTTTATTTCTATTTAAAAAAATATACAAATCTTGATTTTCGAGATTAAAAAAATAGACAATTTTCAATCAAAAATAGCACACGTATTCACAGAACAATAACAATTCAGCTAGGAAAGCTTTGTTTTGTGAGTCTGTTGATTTGCCATGGAACCCCCCTTTTACATTTTACATGGTGTGGTCCATGTCACAATAAACTACAGCCCAAATGAGAATTTTTGGAATCTAACAACACTAATCAACAAGTTTTAAACAGAAGAGCAAATATAAATGTAATAGCATACTTACCCAGGTGAAACAAAGCAATGGTTGTTAGTATCCTTGCTATTACATACATTTTGCAACGCTTGCGTGATATTGATCAATCAGTTGTTTCTCATCTGTTCTCCCAGAGACATCCCGTGATTTATTTTTCACAGGTTCTATTCCCCTTTCTCACATAATACTTTTTAAATACTGCCCCATTATACACTTTCTTTTGAAATTGCAAAAATAATCCATAGTGCATTCACACACTTTCATTTTCTTTGTTCTTCTGCTATTTCCGTTTCTGTCTTCCTGTTGTTTCAAGTCTGAGCAGAGATGGTCTAAATTTGGGGAGATATCAACCTCCGCGGCTCTACCATGGGAGAAATCAATCACGTGTGCCTTGATAACCAATCACATTAATTACAGCCTTAACGTCATTGAAGCAAAAGTCAATCACTTTTTGCGCATACCATAGAAATTAATTAACCCAGTGCCGTAACTTCTGATATAAAACAGCATTTCCTCGGTGTAAATATACGCTCTAAATGATAGATCAGTCCAACACGAATGTTTAATGGCAAGTACGGTTATGTTGATGATTTGCATATAGACTGTTGATTCATTCAATTAAATAAGATGGGTTTTTTTTCCCCACGAAAGCAGTTTATTTATTCAGCGTGGTGAAGCCGCTCCTCCACTGACATCCTTTAAAAAAAATATCTCTGGTCTCCTCCGCGACGCGCTGCATAGCCTTGCTTTAAAACAGCTTTTGTCTGACGACATCATCAAGGGCGTGGTTTGTTCGCAAGATCAGTGAGCATGCGCGGTTTACACGCGCCCTGTCAGCCATAAAATAATATCATAAAATAAAACAAAATAAAATAATAAATGTAAAATTGAATATTAAACATTAGAATTACAACCAACAAATTGTATCTATTTAATGAGTACAAATAATGTTATCTAAACATATTTTTATTATTATTATTATTATTTATTTGAAATGTAAGAATTTAATAAAAAAAATGTAAGAAGGGAAAATTCTTTGTCTCAGAAAATGGAAAAAAGTAAGCTGTCACTCTTGATTTTTGGATATGACATTTGTCCAACAGAACAGAATCAGTATTAGATCATAAAACAGTATAATGTCCTAGTTTCTATCAATTTAATTATTAAAATGGGTAAAAATAAGTTATGAAATCTAATTTAAAAATGTGTTTGAATACCTATATGACAAACTGACTCCACACTGGATTCACCCCGGCGGTATCACAGGCTCTGGATCTGAGCCACAGAACGGATCAGAGTCCACTTACACAGTGTGACGAATCCAGAACACATAGGATCATGGATTTGGACCAGATTTGGCTCAGACCCGTATCTGCTAATGAAGCAGCTCCGACCCATTTTGTTATTAGCAGGCACATGCACAGACCCAAAGATGTGCTCAAGAACCTGCCCTTTTGGTCCCTGCCCCTTTTTGCCAGACTTCTTTTTTTTCTTTTATAATTTAGTTTTCTTTTAAATATGATTCATGGCATCAGTTCTTAGCCAAGCATGTGCCTAACATCTGCCCCTGAAGTGTATCATGTTAAGTGTAACTAAAACACAAAATTAATGCTTTTGGCTACTGACGATATATTGAGGTCTTATGATGTGAATCGATTAGTCTGTGCGAAAAAAAAAAAGAATATTATTTATAACATTATTACCTGTAATGCAAAGCCTCAGGCAAAGGGTCCAGAATGATGTCCGGTTCACAAACAATGCTCTGTATTGGTTACCGCTTACTCCATAAAATAACTTTCAAATCTTGTTACCCACTTCCCCTTATCCCAGCTGCACTGGAACTGCTGCGTGGAGCCACCATCTTCAGCAAGTTTGTCCTGCGCAGCACATTCAATCTAATCCAGATGCAGAGTGGGGACGAATGGAAGAACACCTTTGTGACCCCTACAGGCCACTATGAATATCGGGTAATGCCACAAAGTAAGTTTGCCTTAAAAAGTGGTGGTTGGGCTCCGGCTCCAGCACCGATGGAAAAGCGATAACAGTTGGTGCGTTCAAGTCATGACAGATAGATCGTATTTACGAGTTGAACGCACATGAACGGCATCACAAAGTAATTATTACAAGTGGGAAACTTGATTTTCTTTAAGCCCCGAGTTTCAGAGTTGGGGGCGTGTCAGTGAGAAAACGTGTCGGAAGCAATGGACGCAGCCAAAGACTATAGATATGCAGTGACTGTATTGATGGTAAATTTGTTGAAATGAAAAAAAATGATTACTTTGTTGTAATGTACAATAAAACTATGTGTTACATATACAAAATATTATAGTATTGTATAATTATCATAAAATATATAATGATTCAGTTTACATCACCATACATTGAATAAAAACAGAAAAAAGCAAAAACACAATGCATATTCTTTATTCATCATTTTGTAGATGTAGAGTTAAAAAAATAGTTGAATTTTATGTTGAAAAGTTAAATCGCCATCATGTTCCAACCAAAGTGATTTGAACGCACCTGACATCATAATTACTCAACTGGTAAGTACAAATGTCCCAGGAGGACTTGAACGCAGCAAGTGGCCAGAGTATTAATCACATGCACCTGCAATTCAGGTCTCATCATGAGCATAATAAAGTGCATAAACCTTCAGTAGTTGTCTGGAATGTCAAGAGAACACACACTTACCTACCTAGAGACTTACCTGGAAGTTACCTAACCTACTGCAGCAATGCTGTCTCTCTGTCTTCTAGTAATCCAAGTCTTCTTCAACACATTTTCTTGTAATAACGATATGCTTCTGTTGTAATAACGATATAATGTGTCGTTAAATTGGTATATTTTCTTATAATAATGACATATTATATCATAAAAACAATGTTTTCCCCGTGATAACAAGATATTACACTGTTAAAATAACATTTTGATGTGACATTATAAATAGGCCTTTATCACAGTCCATGTGTCATCACATTAATAAGTAGCACAATCGAATTTCCACCTACACTGAATTATACATTGACTTAGGAAAGAAAAGTAAACAAACTTGGTCGAACTTGAGGAGGCTGGTGATGTCCTCCTCAGCGGAGCAGATGGTAAAGTCTGATCCACAGCTCATAATAAGTGTTCTTTGCCATCATGGTCATTTATTTGTGGTAAAAGAGCAAGCGCTGGTCTATCTGGGTTCATAAAACTATTCAGTCTCGGAGTCAGCACGGCAAGTACCACCTTATGTGCACAGAGGCATATCATAAAATATAGGAAAGTTGCTGACCGCTACAATTCTAAAACTTCTCCTCCATCTTGCCTCAACAGTCCACTACAGCAGAGGTCTTCAACCCTGTTCCTGGGGACCCACTGTCCTGCAGAGTTTAGCTACAACCCTAATCTAACACACTTGAAGCAGCTAATCAAGCTTCTCAAGACTGCTTGAAAATACACAGGCAGATGTGCTGAAGCAGGTTGGAAATAAACTTTGCAGAACAGTGGGTCCCCAGGAGCAGGGTTGAAGACCTCTGCACTACAGGATGTAGTGACAGATCATGTGCGCTCCACTGACTTTACTCCTATTGGTATTTGTATAAAATTAAACATATCTCAACTTTGGTGTGTCGCTGGACACGCCCACCTCCTGTCACCAACAGTCAATGTCGCTTGTGTCACTGGAAATAGCCAGCTCTGTTGAAATGAATGGGATTGTGTTGCTTTGTTGCTGCGTGTCACTGGTAGGTTGAATGCAGCCGACTGGTCGTCACTCTGTCAATTGGACGCTTACCCAGATAGCAAGTGTGGGCTGAGTCTGGCTTACATTCGGAACTTCTGGCTTAATTCTGGTGCAGTTTGTTTTCACAGTCTACAATCATACATCATTTGGCTGAGCTCTGGCTGGAGTTTGGTCTGCCAGAAAAAAAGAAAGTAATCGGCTGAGGGTTTTGATTAGCTGAATAGTAAATAAAAGATCTCTGGCATGAATGTGCTTTACAGTAAAACAGCCTCGTGTAAGATGCGTCCTGTGTTACTATAGTTTTGGCATTTATACCCGCCACAAGGACGCTTGGATTTTGGTATGATTACGGCGCCATATTCGACATCTGCATTTCCGCGTCTATCTTTTACACGAAAACAACGCGTAATCAATATGTATTCGATGCATTGTTTACATGTTAAAATTCACGTATATTTTGAATTGTCTGGCGTTCCATAATTATATTGTAACACCGGGCATCGTTTGTGCTGACGTGATCTTAGGCTGTTACTTGACATTAAACAAAGGGAAACAAAACAAAAGCCCCAAAACATATAGAGTCTGCTTCTACTATAGGCAATTACCGTATTATAATTTAGTTCGCTTACACACAAGTAACCTATTTGTTTTTCTTTTCAATGAACATCACATGACTTCCTGCCTGTGTCAAGTGAACTTGAGGCACGTGTTTTTCGAGAAGGGTGTTGCCTCCGCTATATCATCCAATTCGGTAGGTGGCGCTGTTACAAAAACTATAGGGTCCTGGAAATGCGGTCCTGAAACTGCAGCCTCCGGTTGTGCAGGTGTTTTTCAGTAATGACGTTAGGAAAGCAGATTTGGGAACTTCCTTAAACGTTTGAAAACGTTCACTTAACGTTAAATTTTGTGCGCTCTCGTTGACAAAAGAATAGGATATAACATCACGGATTTACAGGTACTGTAAAGAGCTTTTTAAAATGTGTTTTTAAGTGAGTGTTCAGAAACAGTTGGAACTTGATACATTTAACTTGTAATGTTTCAATCGTCGCACAAAGTACTTAGTTGTTTAATAAAAAAAAATTAATTGATTTGCAACGGCAACGTATTCCGGAGAAATTCAGGTCGTTTTAACCTTTTAACTGATATCTCTACCGTACGTTGAGCTTAATTTGATAGGGAATAAATGTATCAAAAGTAAGAGATGAGAGAGCAATGTTTCCACAGCTGTACTGCCCCATCTCTGTGTCTGCTGTTGTCACGGGGGGTTGGGAATTTCCAGTTTTCAAGTGACAGCAGCAGTTTACAAACTTCAGTCAGTCACACAGAAGGGAGAACGGTGCTGGTCAGTCATCAGATAACAGCTGGTCAAACAAGCAATCAAGGAAGTAGGGGTGAAACCATGATGTTGTTGTAAATAGGGTAGAGGGTAAAGAACATAAATATATAAAAAAATATATGAGAAATGCAAAAATGTTTATTTACCATAATTATCCAAAATCATGCGTGACCGTACGGTTGATATGTCTGTAAAGGACATCATATAACATATATATTGCCATACGTCTATATTATAGAGACGCTTCAATATAATTTTTTATCTTTGTGGATCCTGAAGGTTATGAAATGTATCCAAGATACTAATAAAGTTAAAAGAATGTTTATTATTGGAAAATAACTAATGGAAATAGTTCTC